TGCTTCCTTTCCAGTTTCGCAAAGACCTGTTGTGTGTTCCCGGGACACTCTGGATCTGTGGCGTTTCAATCTAAGGGGGATATTGGGCTTCCAAGTGGTTGGAGGGCTTCGTTCATACATTCACTACGTAGTTCTTGCAAACCCGTACAGGACACGAGCTGCTGTTGTATTTAACCACAGGTGGGAAATGGGGTTGCGAGCGAAGGGCTTGCCGGTGGCCCACCTAAATATTCACTTCAGGGGTGACCCTGGAACTTAGAGCTCCCAGAATGACATTTGGTGTCTAACGCAAGCTAATGGCAACTCGCTGTCCCACCATATTCAGCCTAAATATTTGTAGCGCCGTTTCTGCTAGCTAACATAACACCTTTAGCACTCAAGCTATATTTTGGTTTTGTTGAGGTTTGGAGCCTTAAAACTAAAGAGATTCCCGTTTGTTCGGGTCTCCTTTGTCTGCCTTTTATTGTTCCTGGACAAGCAACTTAGTAACTTCGGATTAATTGGACTCCACAGCCTAATTAATTTCAGCGATTCGATCTCGTACGGGAGCTCTTCTGACGATTTCAGTGGCAAAAGCCGTTTCCTTATCTTCTGCCTGTCTGCTTGGTGGGATTTAGGTACTGCAGGCAACAGTTAAGAAGATTGGACTATATATAATAAGCCTTTCTTTCCTAGGACAGAGGGGCTCCCCTGTCCCAAAACGGTCCTCACAGAATGGGAGATAAATCTTACGGACTTCCATCTTCTGTGCGGTGCAGTCTGGAAGTGCAGCCGAGATGAAGTCGGCGGGAAAAGCTTCGTCTCCCGATAACGCTCTTCGTTCCTTCGTGCCTGTTTGTTTGCTGCGATTTGGAAGCAGTTACGGCCCTGAGAGATGTAACCGCTTGGGATCGAGAGCCCCTTTCGACTCGACCGCCAGGCTCCCAAAGCCAAGTTACAGGCAAGGAAAGTGGAGGCAGCACCTCCTTTAAAAACTACCTCCAGCAGCCGGAGAAAGAAACGCGGATGATATGCAGCGCATCAAAGAGTGAAGTTGTTAGAACAACCCAAAAGGCTCCGGGGTGGACGTACCCCGCGTCCGGAACCGAGGAGTTTCCCCTTTTTTTCCCCAAATCACGACTTTTCAGAGTGCTAGAAAAAGTATTTCCAACAAGATCTAAACTTTTCTCTTAAGCAAAAAAAAAAAAAAAAAGGTTGTACTCAATTTCGGAGCGAAAAAGCCGTTCTTGACACGAATGGAGGTGTCAGTGAAGCCTCTTGCTCTTCAAAAGGAAGTTCCGTTCACTTATCACACAAACCCTGGAGAGCGGCCTTTGGACCCGGTGTCCTGGGCTGTTTTTCCGGTCCCATCAGGGTTTTCGGGTCTTTAGGTGATTACCATGGGACATAGCTGAGTTTGCTAGTCTCTCCACACCCCCGCCCCATTTGTCCGAGTTCTGGAGGTTTCTGCGCGTCCCCGGGCTCTCGCCTGGCTCTATCTTCCAGAGATCCATGAAAGCGGCTGCGGGAGCCATCCTCCTGACATCCCGTCGCTCAGGCAGCAGGGCTTCTTCTCGGTTTTCTTCCTTGCCCCTCTGTCAATGGGCTGAGAAAGGCAACAGACCAGGGGTCCCCAAACTTGGCAAGTTTAAGACTTGTGGACTTCAACTCCCAGAATTCTCCAGCCAATTCTCCA